GTTGTAGCTTCTCTTTGTGCCTCATTGGTTAAGGGGATCTGGTTAAAGCGATCTGGGAGGAGTAGCTTCTGTCCGACGCCAAGACAGGGACTAGAACCATAGCAGCATTCCAACGGGGACCCCTTGAGGGCTCATAAAAAAGGTAAAGGGACCCCTGACCATTAGGTCCAGTTGTGGCCGACTCTGGGGTTGTGGCGCTGATCTTGCTTTACTGGCCGAGGGAGCCGGCGTACAGCTTCCGGGTCATGTGGCCAGCATGACTAAGCCATTTCTGGCGAACCAGAGCAGCGCATGGAAACGCCGTTTACCTTCCCCCAGAGCGGTACCTATTTATCTACTTGCACTTTGACGTGCTTTCGAACTGCTAGGTTGGCAGGAGCTGGGACCGAGCAACGGGAGCTCACCCCGTCGCGGGGATTCAAACCACCAACCTTCTGATTGGCAAGTCCTAGGCTCTGTGGTTTAACCCACAATGCCACCTGCGTCCCTTGAGGGGTCATAGGGCACCCTCAATATGTGGTTTACCCTTAGATGAGCTTCCAGCAGATGGGCTGGAGTGGCGTAATTTGACCTCACCCAATGCCAGACCATTTACATCTGTAACCAATAAAGTTCTGGCCTATTTGAACTCATAAACCTATATGCTGTTGTCTTGTGTGCTTATTCACTCCCTAGGGAACGGTGGGGTCATGGAGTCAGGGCATGCGACTTGCCTTTGCCATGAACTCAACTAGGCATGCCACTGTGACTCAGTCTGCCCATAAATGGGGCAGGGACGAAGGAGGGTGGAAAGTCCACAAGTTAGGGAAAGAAGGAGAGAAAAGCAGAGGCACCACTATTACCTGTTCCAAATGGATCTAGCTAAGACTAGCTAAGACTGAAGTCTATTTCCAGAGGAACCCACAAGATCAAGTAGGCTTGAAAAAGGTATCGAGCAGCTTCCTGGAAAAACTCAAAAAGCTGAACAACAGGTTGTCAGAGGAATACACAGTTAATGAGAAAGGCTTTGAAGGGAGTTGACCTCTCATAGGATGATTACATTGAGAACGAGGTTGGATAGAAGGGACCTTAAAAGAAAAAAGGTACTAAGGTAAAAGGATAAAGGTAAAAGACCACTGGACGGTTAAGTCCAGACAAAGGCGACTATGGGGTCGCAGCACTCATCTCGCTTTTCAGGCCGAGGAAAGCCAGACAGCTTTCCGGGTCATGTGACCAGCATGATTCAACCACATCTGGTGCAATGGGACCCTGTGACAAGTGCCAGAGTGCACAGAAATGCCGTTTACCTTCCCGCCGCAGTGGTACCTATTTAATTTCAAGCGTGCTTTCGAACTGCTAGGTTGGCAGGAGCTGGAACAGAGCAATGGGAGCTCATCCCATTGCAGGAACTGCCGACCTTCTGATCAGCAAGCCCAAGAGGATCAGTGGTTTAGACCACAGTGCCACCCACTCCCCTTACAGTACTAAGTCAACGGCACCAGAGTTGCAGGTTCATCATTAGGTGTTCTTAAGCCAATTGGCATATTTGCAGGTTCATCATTAGGCGTTCTTAAGCCAATTGGCACATTAGCTAGGTGGCCAAGGTGTTGTGTGCCAGAAAACAGAAAGGTCAAATCGCCCTTCCACGCCAATGCCTGCTCCCATCAAGATAATTATCACTTCCCTTCCCCAGCTAGAGATATTTACATTCCCCCCCAAGCAAATGAAATGCAAAGACAGTGCCATTGTGTTTAGCTTGGATCTGAGAAGGGTAGATTTCTTTCCCTAGCAGGAACTTTTTATTGTTGCCATCGAGCAGAAAGGCCTTTGCTGCATGATATTTTATCACCGGAAAGTTCAAACATGGCATAGATCAAGGTACCCAGAAATTGCATTACCGGTCTTGCAGAGATGAACCCTGAAGGTGACTTTCATAAGATCTGGCTCACCGTTCTGTCGAGTGTAGTGTTGCGTAACCGTAGCAAATTCTTCCTCTGAGGCATAAGATTTTATAGAACGTGTCCCACCTCACCAGTGTGCCGGCCATTAATCTTTTGCTTCTCAGCACAGTCCCGTCTCACTGGTCCTCCCTCAAGTCCCTAGAAGATGTTTTTATCACCGAGTTGAACAACAGTTGCGTCAGTAGCCTGTGCTTGAATTAATCCCCGCAAAATTGCAGAAAATGCCCTTGCTTCGAAGATGATACAGTCTTGACAGGGATGCTGCAAAGGGAGAAGTGCGTGAATAGTGGAACTATTAAAGAAGTACATCCCTATGCTTGTACAAGAGAGAATATTTGAAGACACAGTAGAATCTCCTGGGGGGAAAGCTGCAGATAAAATGTGTTACTAGAGGCATTTCGAAATACATGTTACTAATATAAATACGATCATGTAAGTGTGTGTGTTAATTCCTCCTGTCAAAGTGAACCTTGTCATTGTGCAAATCTTCCGCCTCCGTTGATAGCAATGGCATGTTTGTGTTTATAAGTGCTTGTAGCCACGGTTGCTGGCATGGTTTGAGTGGACAAACCAAAACCCTTTAGGGGAGGAAGTGTAGCTCAGTGGAATAAAACATGTTGTTTGCATGTCCTGGATTCGGTTCCTGGCATTTCCAGGATCGAGGATCAGGGAGCACATCACGGAAAGGACATCCACTGACAGCAAGATAAGACAATTCTGAGCTAGGAAAACTGTCACACGTTGCATGTGGGATGCCAAATTTGGGCCAAAGGTCTTCAGCCAGGGGTAGGCAACCTAAGGCCTGGGGGCCGATGCAGCCCAATCGCCTTCTCAATCCGGCCCACGGACGGTCCAGGAATCAGCATGTTTTTGTTGGGATACTGCCAGGGAGATAGCAGTCCATCATAGCCCCCAAGCCGGCTGCCGGACGATCCATCGATCTCCCGTAGACACGCAGTATCAGCAATTAGTGACACGAAGCCTCAGAAATAGATTGCCACATTCTTAGGCTGGTGCACACTCTGTCAGCAGACTTCACACAGCAAAAGATGCACAGCAGGAGAGCATATTTACAGTTTATTTAACGTTGGTCAGAACAAAGAAAAGACATGACCGCCTGCTTCAGCTTTCCGGCACGAAGGAGGAAACGAAAGCAACGACACAACAGAAACATCCTGTGAAACAGGAAATACGCAGACTCTGTGACTCACAGCCTGCTCCCTTTTAAGGTGGAACGGAAATATCCTAACAGTTTTTACATGAGTAGAAAGTGCCCTTTTATTTAAAATTCATCTCTTGATGATTATTTGTGGGGCATAGGAATTCATTCACCCCCCCCTCCAAAAAAATATAGTCCTGCCCACCACATGCTCTGAGGGACGGTGTACCGGCCCACGGCTGTAAAAGGTTGCTGACCCCTGTCTTCAACTATACTTCCTCCCTTTTAACTCTGTAGTTTAAGTTCCAACAAATGGACAGACATCGGGGAAAGTCTTTAGTCAAAGTATACAGAGCAGCACGAGTATTTAGAACACAGTAAATCAAACACGGAAATTCCCAGTGGTGGTGGTCAGTTCTGAAGGGGTATAAACGCAACCTAGATTTAGCAGGTCTAGAGGCAACAAACATAACAAAACTATCAATACATGAAAAGATTTATCCCCCAATCCATGTGTTTCCAGTGGTCAAAGAACATATAACCTGGGGCTGGGGAAACCTCTGTCTTTCAGATGGGAGACCATCTTTGGATCTAGTCCAAAGTTTTGTTGTGAGTGCAGGCATGCTAGGCTCACATGCCCCCAAGAAAGCTACATGGGAAGAAGTCCAGACTAGCACACACACTCATTACACCTGGGATGAGGAATTGTGTATATCGGAGTGGAGGAATGTTCTCTATTTTTTGCACCACACCAAACCCCATCTCCCCCCTGTTCCTGCTTACTCTGAAAAGAGAAAAGGCTAAAAAACAACAACCACGTACACCAAAATCCTACCTCACTTTCAAGGCTGCTACAACCTGAGTTGTACTGCAGCAGCTTCACGGCAGTCACAGTTCTCTGGAGAAGTCGAAGGTATCCCCTGACTGCTTCTAGGTCTTGGGCTATTCCGGTGATTTAGTGACGACTGATGGATCGTCTATCCAGTCACTCAATGGAGTCAGAAAATAGGAGCATGTGGTGAGACCCTCAGTTCACTGGGGGAGTAACTGCTGTATTCTGGATGCTGGATCCATGGAGCCAACAGGAAGGAAAAGACCTTGCTAGGCCACTGTTGTGGGATGTGGGAGCAGTAACAAAGGATCCTAAGCACTGCTGCCCTCCGGCTCTGTGGGGCAGGCAGCGAGTAGGACAAAAGGCAAGTGAAGGAAGAGACAGGGTGGAGCAGCTAGTGCCCTGCATTCCTTCCTGTTAAGGTGAAACCCATAGTATTTAAAGAGCAGTCAGTGAATTTTCCACTGCGAGCCTGATTTTCTGATTTGCACGGCACACGTACGTGAGAGTGAGGCAAATGCTGATTCAGCAATCTGTTTTGCCTGTTCCTCTGTGGTTCCATAGGCTCTTGCCTTTCTTTTTAAAAGCTGTACAGATGCATTGATTCATTTATATGGTCATAATTCACCTTATTAAAAGAAGTACATAAAAAAACCCCAACCACTTGCCAAACTGCACAACCAGATTCCCCTACCCTGTTCAAACTGAGCAATCATCCTGATTTGTTTGCAGGGATGTTAGATGAAGTTGCACCAAGCTAGGGTTATACCACATAAAGGTAAAAAGGTAAAGGACCCCTGGACAGTTACGTCCAGTCAAAGGCGACTATGGGGTTGTGGTGCTCATCTCTCTTTCAGGCTGAGGGAGCTGGCATTTGTCCACAGACAGCTTTCTGGGTCATGTGGCCAGCATGACCAAACCGCTTCTGGTGCAATGGGACACTGTGTCAAGTGCCAGAGTGCACGGAAACGCCGTTTACCTTCCCGCCATAGCAATTTTTCTAATTGCAAGCATGCTTTCGAACTGCTAGGTTGGCAGGAGCTAGGACAGAGCAACGAGAGCTCACTCCGTCGCGGGGATTCGAACTGCCAACCTTCCAATTGGCAAGCCTAAGAGGCTCAGTGGTTTAGACTACAGCGTCACCCGTGTTCCACATTCTCTGCCCCAGCGTGTTTTCCTGTCAGGTTTGTTGCGCAAGAGTGCCAGCCGTGTATGCTGGGATGTGATTGGATCCTGCTTGGAAACAGCAAGAGCCTAGAACTGCCCTGAACCGTGCTCCAAAGTCGCAGAACTACCGGTAGTTTTCCACAGGTCTCCTTGAGGGAATGGCACATCAACAGTGCAACAGGTTCGGAAAGAAGAAAGTCACTCTATTTTGGTTGTGTGTGTGAGCACATGCATTCACTCACTACTTTGTAGCTGGGCAGTGATGAGTGCAGCTTGTATAACTTCTAGGAAATACCCCCCCCCCCTTCTTATGCAAGTGTTCTGAAGAGTTTTTCCCAATGAAATTCAAGGGGTGTGCCCACTTTGTTAATCGTTGCAGCTGTCAGGATTTATAAATTCTTCCCTGGGAAGTGCTGCTGGCAAGTTACGTTTCAGACTTTCCTGCTTTTCTCTATAGCGCTATTTACAGACTGACCAGTGTTGGGGGAGAGATTCTGCAGGTGTGAATTTTTGCCTTCGCTTTCTGTGGAAACCTGGAACAATAAAATAAAATAACCTAGGTATGTTGCATTGCAATAATTGTTGTTGTTTTTTTAAAAAAAATTAAAGGCACAGTTTTGATGTAGCGTGTGTTTAGACATGTAGTTGTTTTTCATCTGAAATATATCACTCACAGTCAAAAGATATCCATATCTAATCAGCAGGGTGCCAAGTTAACATTTCTGAGCCCTGTAAGGTTGTTCCAGATTACGGATAATAATGTCCTACGGGGGTGACCTTTAGAATAACATTTTGTGCAAAGGCTTTGAAAGGTAATGCTTGATCAAGAGTGTCTGTCTAAACAATACTGTCAGTCAAAGCGCAGCGAGGTTTTGGGGTCATTTTTCTCGCTGCTTCGCTTCAAAACAAAGGTGCAGGTCCTGTGCACACTGACCCGGGAGTAAACCGCACTGAACAGAGTGAAACTTACTTCTGAGTAACCATGCATAGGATTGCACCACACAAATCGCAAACAGCTATGCTCATATTCTTCTATATACAGGGCAATCCTATTCAAGTCTCGTTGAATTCAGTGGGGTTCAGTCTCAGGTAAATGGATAGAGGCTTGTCACCTATTTTATTTCCTTCCGGTTGATTGCGTGAAAAATTCTCAAAACAATTATTTCCCCCATCCAGGGAAATTAAAGTGGGCTGGGAGAAAATAGGACTAGTATGTGTTAAAACCTGGGAGTGGGGAAAAGATTGTCCCTAACATTCCTTCACAAGGATGGTTGTGTAGCACAATCCTTAAAACACTGTGAAAATTTATTCTGTGCATTGTGTGTGTGTGTTGTTGTTTTTAACTTTTCTTAGTTGTTTTTGTTATATTTTGCATATAACCTTGAGATAACTTGTCAGCCTGGATAGCTCAGTTGCTTAGAGCGTGCAGCTAATAACTCCATGGTTGCAGATTGGATCCCCAGCTGCATTGCAGGGGGTTGGACCAGATGATCCTATGACCTAGATCTATTTATATATCTATAATCTATGGAAGGGGACGCGGGTGGCGCTGTGGGTAAAAGCCTCAGCGCCTAGGGCTTGCCGATCGAAAGGTCGGCAGTTCGAATCCCCGCGGCGGGGTGCACTCCCGTTGCTCGGTCCCAGCGCCTGCCAACCTAGCAGTTCGAAAGCACCTCTGGGTGCAAGTAGATAAATAGGGATCGCTTACTGGCGGGAAGGTAAACAGCGTTTCTGTGTGCTGCGCTGGCTCGCCAGATGCGGCTTTGTCACGCTGGCCACGTGACCCGGAAGTGTCTCCGGACAGCGCTGGCCCCCGGCCTCTTAAGTGAGATGGGCGCACAACCCTAGAGTCTGTCAAGACTGGCCTGTACGGGCAGGGGTACCTTTACCTTTAATCTATGGAAGGCTATTATTATTACTAATATTAATCTACAGATTCACTTTGTTCATTCTGCTCTATGGACTAAATGTCCTTGCTATGGCTTGAACCAGATCTTCTAAATACTTTACGCACGACCATTACTTGCATAGCCCAACACAGTGGCATAGCGTGGCTGGGGGGCGGTTGCCCCGGACGCAAAATTGTTAGGGGCACAAAATCTCAACACCCGGTGCTGGCTCCATACAGCTGTGCACTTCTGTTGCTGGAATCCTTTGAAAATGGCTTCTCCGTATAAACCAGGAAGTGACCTCTCCAGGCAACGGAACAAGTCTTCTTTTCTTATTTCTGTGGCTGCAATCTCCTGGGTGACGTGGATGCTGTTAGGCAGCTGAATGCACATGTGTACTCTGTACATTTCCTTCCCTCTCACCCACCCCCTCTGCACAGCCCCGGGCTCTGGCAACCCACGGTATGCCATGGCTTAATAATAACCAGCATGGTTGATTTATTGTTGGTTATATTGCCGTAGCATAAGGCCTCTTATTGTCAGGATAGCCAACACAGTGTCGTCCAGATATTGTTGAATGGCAGCTGCCATCATCCCTGATCCCTGGCCGTGCTAGCTGGGGCTGATGAAAATTGTAGACCAAAGGATCTGCAGGGTACCACATTGTCCACTCCTGACATGTATGCATTTGAAGACAAATGCATAACAAATGAGAGAAAATGCTATGCGTTCCAATTTGTTACTAAAGCTGTGCTTGGCTGTTTTTTTAAATAGTTCTTCCTTTGTATTGCTAGGCCATTGTATGAAATGGAATCCCATTCATTGCAACCCAAGCATCCTGGATCAGATGAAAAATCCAGAAAACCAGACAACAAAAATGGTAAATATTTGCTGGCAGGTGACTCATGAGCTGCTGCTTTGTACCTTTGCTACACCTGCGATCTATCACGTCGCTAAGCTCATGTCCAATCAGTATTTCCAAGCTGTCTTCAAGGGAAGCCCCACATAAAGTTAAGAACAGTAATCTAGCTGGGAGGCTACCAGAACACGGGTTACTGTGGCAAGGCTCTGATCAAGTATACATTAGATGTATACTTAAAATGCAATAGCTGCACACCTAAAATGCTTAACAGGTATGCAGCCCTTGAAATTTTCCATTTTTGGTGTGTGTGTGTGTGTGTGTGTGTGTGTGTGCGAGAGAGAGAGCGAGAGAGAGAGAGAGAAAGAAAGAGAGAAAGAAAGAAAGAAAGAAAGAAAGAGTGTGCGTGTTTGTGTGAGAGAGAGTTTATATAGGGTTATGATGATCCATGCATGGTTATTGTAAAGACTCATCAACTTTTGCCAGGGAGCCCTAAAATACTTGATTATCACTTGTAATTACACAATGAACCCAATAATGCTAATGTTGCCTTCAGGTTCTTGTTGCTTCCCTTCAACTTCTCAGAGCCTCCTGTTGGGTCTCTAGTCATACACTCTCCTGAAGGAAGTGGGGACTTAAAAAATAAATAAATCACAAACCTATTTCTGGTCTGGAATAAAGCTACAAAGAGGCAGAGGGAAGAATGTGCAATGGAGAACTACTGCAGGCTCCTGTACAAACAATACCACTAATAACTTGTGTTGTGAGTTGTAAAACAAGCAAAGATATACATGTAAGTCCACAGGAACAATTCCAAAACTCACATTAGGGCAATATTTTTATTGGGCCAACCGGAATCTTACAAAAGAGTGTGGTAGCTTTTGAGCTCTCCAGAACTTGGATGAGGAGGACATCAGGCTTGATGGTGAACATAAGTGGCAGTGGGGGAGAAAGCAGGAATTTTGGCTGATTCTGAAGACATGATGGAGTTTGCATTGCCTTGTAGTCTTCAGATAGTAAGTAGGCAGCAGACATTAAAATGAAGCTCTAGTCCAGCAGTTCTCAACCTGTGGCTCCCCAGATGTTGATGGACTACAACTCCCATCATCCCTAGCTAGCAAGACCAGAGCTCAGGGATGATGGGAGTTGTAGTTCAACAACATCTGGGGACCCACAGGTTGAGAACCGCTGCTCTAGTCCATTAGGTGAGCTGCAGGTTTTTGGCTGTTGGGAAGAAGCAGCAGGCAATAATTTATCCCTATTTGGGAGAGGGTGATATAAAATCCAGCTGTTACCCAGACCAGTCTCTACTTGAAAACTTGCACACTCTTTTTGGAACATTTTGGTTTGCCCTAAGAAAGAAATTGCTCAAACGTGGATTTTGGAATTTGTACAATAGAGGTGTAGAGAACCTTCAAGCTGAAACATTGACAAGTATTTTTATGTGACCGTGAGAGAAAGCCTCTTTGCAAAGAACCAGCTCAGATCCCTGACACTTTAGGGTCTTGGCAGGACATCGTTTCTCTTGATCCTTTTAAAATAAATGTGATCTGGTAATCCAGTCTTTCGCCCTCAACTTCAAAGAGAAGCTCTTCCATGTAGAAATTCTGGTCATTTACATCTTCATTATGAAGCCATACAGGAATGCAGCTTTCCAGGTGCCTTTGCAGAAGTAATTGTGGTGCTATCACTGTTGATTAGGAAACCTTACATAGGCAAGGAGCAAGAGCCATCCTGCAGGATTATCGATTTAGTGTGAACTCAGCATTTCACATGTTTTGATTTCCTTAAAATAGAAGCAAGAAAGAGTAGAAGGGGGACCTTTAGCATATTCTCCAAATCTGCCTGAGTGAGCAGATTAACTAAGATAGCAAGTAAATTTATGGGGCCAATAGGCTGGAATAGAATAAGTGCAACTGTAAACACCCTGATCTGTTTGATGGTTTAGTGTTGCATATATATAATCATGTGTTCCTAGGCTGTATCTATGGCTTGGCAAAGTCCTGAGTTGACCTCTTAGAAAGCAGAGGACTTGAACCCACTTGATCTTACACTACTCACAAACTGTAGTTTGTTAAGGATGCAATTCTCAGCACCCTTAATAAGCTACAGCTCCCAGAATTCCTTGAGCAAAGCTGCCAACCTTTCTCTTTTCTTTCGAGGAATCCTATTAGGAATAAGGGAATTTCCCTTAAAAAAGGGAAATGTTGACAGCTATGCCTTTGAGGGAAGCCGTGACAATCTAAAGTTGTGTCATAGTGCCTTTGAGTTATTTCATTGCAAGGTGCAATAATGGGGCTGCTTTGTTGAGGCTGTTGCTGTCCACTCCCCTCCCTAGTTTTGGGCTACGTAATCACACACATGGCTAGACTCAAAACAGTATAAATACAGTATATAGATTATGATACTGATGCTGGACCTGGAAAAGAAAGCTATTGCCCCAAACAGGGCACATAGCAGCTCCAGGGGTTATTTTCATTTGGTATGGGGAAAGACGTAACTCTCTCCCTCCCTTACATAGTGCTACAGTCCAGATCCCTTTTTCGTTGGAAATTTCCTTTTTAATGTTGTGCAAACATTAAAAAAACACACACAAATATGCATGAAACCCTGTTCTGCAGGTCTTCCATGTTGCTTCTAGGTTTGGCCCTTGATGAACGTTTATGAAATCATTCTCCACACGTGTCCATTCCTTCCTGCTTTCACCACTGCCTCCGTCAAGACAAGAGTTTCTGTCATTTTTGTGTGGGAGAAAGCATGCACTGTCTGAGGAGCCCAACCCTCTCAGGGCATATGCTGCATCGCTATGCTGCCACAGTATAGGGTTTCCATAAAAGTGCCAGCTGGAGTTGCTTGGCAGCATTTCAGCAGGACACTCGAGGGCAGAGCGGATTCCTTGTCCCGAAGCCCTGTCCTTCTTGACCTCTCCTGGCCCCTTACATCTTGAGATAAACTCACCACGTTAGCACTTTACTTTGAGAATGGACAGCATGATGTCAGGGCACTGAAGAGTGGTGGCTAGATATTGAGGATTGGGGACCAGGAGAAGGCAAGTTGGAGACTTGGAAGAAGGGATCCGTGAACCTGTAACATCCGGGAGATGAGAGTCAGAGGCAGGAGAAGCTGCAAGGCTGGAGAGTGGAGAACAAGTGCAGGAGGGAGGGAGGGAGGGAGAGAATTCTCTTGCTCCACTGGCTCCCAGGACCAGAAGAGGATTGAAGAGGGAGGAGAAGAGGGTTTCATGCAGGCGGAGTCTTCAGCTGCTTGCATGCAGTTCAGATAGGGGAGATACATAAGCCAAGATCAAGGCCTTTCTGTGTTGTCAACTGCCTCCTCATTGCAAGACCAAGCAGGAAGCAAGGAACTGTGGCTTAGGCTGGAAGAGAACCTGTGAGCCTGTAGGAAGTGGCTTCGTTTAGCCTTCGGGCAATTTAAAATATGAACCTATGATGAGCGTCCGGCAGGGGAGGTAGAACTTACTGAGTGTGCCTTGTAGGCATTGATTGTCTAGTTCTCTATGAATTGGGCTAATCTTCTTCTGAAGACATCCGAGTTGGAGGCCACCACTGCCTCCTTTGAGAGCGAGTTCCATGGTTTAGCTATGCAAATAAATTCCTTCCTGAATCTGTTGGAAAATTCCATTCCACCTTTAGTTGCAGACATGGAACTGTTGCATGTCACATGTCTGTTTACATGCCAGCACAGCTTGCTGGGAACTTCCATTGTGTGTATAGCTTTTGCTTTTCTCTGTCTCTTGGAGAAGACAAAGACAGAGACTACATGTTTCTTTGTCCTGATTTATGATTAATAAATACGTAGTTGTAGTATGCTTCCACAAGCCTCATGCCTATTCTGTGTGCGCAGTTCGCTCTGCCGACATAGTGTGCCCTGGCTTTGAAGCCTGGGTCACTGATTTACGTTGGAGCAGAGGCCGATGGGTCTTCGCAGTGGGACGGCTGGAAGGAGATGACCCAGCTGGGGCGAGCCAGCTGGCCTTGCGACCCTCTGCATCCTGACAGAATCTTCCATCATTCAGTCTTCTATTCAGGCGGTTTCAGCCCATGGCAAGAACGCTATAACTCTTCTTTTTCTTTTAAATATATTTTTATTAAAGATTTATTAGTTTACCAAAAAATACATGCGTTGTCTCTTTTTTTCAAGTTGTGTTTTCTACAGATCAATTTCATTTGTTGTGAGACATTAGTGTTACATACAGTGTTAGGTTAGGAAGAAAAGAGGGGGAAAGTACACACAGGAAATACAAGACGAACTAGGGGATACCCAGATGCCCTGGCTAACACACCACCAATTACATGCCCTCCTAAACAACCCAGGAGTAAAATCAGCAGCAACTAGGTCCATGACAACCTTCGAAAAACCTCCTCCTAACAACAAAGGGATGGTATCCACAATATACAAAATAATGCTCCAAAATCCCACAAACTCCCTTGACGTAATCAAAAAAGAATGGGAGGACAAAAAAGGCTGTGAGATTAACCCTCCCCCAATGGACTAGAATGTGGTCTAAACCTCCCTTTAAATCCATATCAGCAAAAAGGAAAGAACTCAGCCTGAAACTCACTTACAGATTGTACCTAACTCTATAACTTTTTTGACCAACTTCTATGTCTCATTGGTGCTGAGCAAAGGTGGGATTCCGTTCTATTATTATGGCTTTATAAATAGCAAGTGTGATGGATGGCAGCTCCCCGAGGCCACATATATCACACTAAACAATTATTGTTAGGGACTTTTTGTGGGCAGGGACATAACTCAGATGGCTTCATGCTCAGCAGGGCTGCCTGGCCATATAGAGGTTAGTGGCTTTTGCGATTAGGTCACTGCACTTTCGTTAGCTGAGCTGGGCTACCTCTCGCTGTTATTATGACACATGACCTTTCCATTGTTTTATTACTAGGACCAAACGGAGATGAACAGATAGTCGCAGAGATCATGGGAAGGTGTTTCTCCCCTTCGCTGATAACCACCCAAGCCTGGGAAGGGTTCCATTTTGTTGGCCACAAGATAAAGATCACGGAATCCACCGACTGCTATGGAGCTGTCGTCTGGCCTTCGGTATTGCAGGCAAACAAGACTGTTGGCTCTGATACGTGAAGCAGGGCACAGTGTGAAACGTAAGGGGTGGTTGTTTAAAGCCTGGGGAAACTAAAGTTCTGTGAAGATGAGGCTCTAAATACAGACAGCTGACGTATTTGGGGATCAGAATTGTTACCCCAAAGGAGCAATTCACTGCAAGATCAACAAGCTCCATCATCCATACAAGGAAAGCCTTGCCGCTAATATTAATAATAATCAAGGCATATTATTTATTTGTTTGTTTGTTTGTTTGTTTGTTTGTTTGTAATGCTATTTCCTCTGTCAATCTGCTCTTGTACTGTTTTTTGTTTTCCCCCATCCACAGGCTCTCGTTATCTGCCACTTTTTGGAAACTAACATGAAATCTTATAACCTGGTTGACAAAAATGTCATTGAAATTGGAGCTGGGACAGGCCTGGTCTCGATAGTAGCCAGTTTCCTTGGTGAGTATGGGTAGTATCCTCTAGATCAGAAAGTGGTATTCCAAGGTGTATGTGGGATTTTAGTGCACCTGTGACCAAGGAGTAGCATGTCAGCTCAAAAACAAAAGTAGCAACAGAGACAGGGGCTCATTATCTTTTAAACACAGGTCTCTCCCCACCCCCATATAGAAATGTGGTTTTGCATGAAGAGGGCATGGTAGATAGACCATGTAAGGATGGATTTAGACACTAGGAGAGGAAATATTGTTTTAGTTATTATCCTTCCTTGCCCATGTGAGTGAGATCAGCAGAGTACATCCATTGTGGCCAGAACTTGGAACACAAGGTTGATTTGACCTTCTAGAAGCAATAATCCAGGATTAATCTGGGTTTTTCTTGGTATTACCACTTTTCTCCACCTTGGAAACAGCAATCGCACACACATTGTTTTGTGAAGAAATAAAAGTAGTATTTACTTACATATTCTAGATTTTGAATTAGCAAAACAAAGGCAGGTTTATAACTACTATCTAAGTTACAAAAGTACAAAATGTAAGTTCAGAAATGGGGTCTGAGCTGCATGTATGGTCAGCTTGGAGGCATGATGAAGAAAGAGAAATATGCTTTGGCAGGAAGGAAGCTTGTAGTATTACAGCTTCCTGCCAAAGCAGACAAAGGAAGTGATCTCACAGAGTTCTCTCTAGCAAATTTTACAGGGAAGCTCTGTGAGCCTCAGCCCTTTCATGCGCCTATCTGGCAAAGTGTGAATTGTTGGTTTGGCGGTACTAATGACCCACAGACCAAAGAGTTGTAACTTAGTGATAGAGTGTCTGCTTTCTGTGCTGAAGGTCTCTGATTCAATTCCTGGCATCTCCACACAAGGCTGGGAGAGACTTCCTGTCTGAAATTCGGGAGAACTTTTACTAGTCAGTGTAGATGGTACTGAGTTATCGAGGAACCAATGGTCTGACTTTGGTCTAAACAGCTGCTCATGTTCCTACTGTCTTTAATGATGCCAGAGAGCATTCCTGCAAAACTGTCTTAGATTTGCTAAGCATTCATTCTGTGGCCCCTTCCTGCCACAGGTGCACGTGTGGTTGCCACCGATTTGCCTGAATTGCTGGGGAACCTTCAATACAACCTTGTCAAAAACACGAAGACCAAATGCAAGCATGAACCCCAGGCAAAGGAACTGTTTTGGGGAGTCGACTTGGAAAAGAATTTCCCCAGGGCTTCGTGTCAGTTTGACTACATCCTGGCAGCCGACGTTGTGTACCACCACCCTTACCTGAACGAGCTACTCCTTACCTTCGACCACTTGTGCAAGGACAACACCATCATCATCTGGGCCATGAGGTTCCGACTGGAGAAGGAAAACCAGTTTGTGGACAGATTCAAGAAACTGTTTGACCTGGAGGTTATAACTGATCTCCCCAGCTTAAATATAACCCTGTTTAAGGCAAAGAGAAGGCATAAAGCGAAAAGGCCTTCCCTTTTCCCATCCAGACTGCTGGTTAGGTGATTGTCAATGCATGGGTCTCTTTTGTTAGCCAGGATTAGACCATTTCTCATTGGATTGCTAGGTTTGAACGTATGATACTGGTAGAGCACTCAAATGTTTGGCCCTCACTTGCAGTCCGAAATAATATAACACACCAACAGATTCATGATGGTCCATGCACACCTTTGTTTGCAATGATAATGAGCCACAATACATACCTCTACAGTGGTACCTCGGGTTAAGTACTTAATTCGTTCCAGAGGTCCGTTCTTAACCTGAAACTGTTCTTAACCTGAAGCACCACTTTAGCTAATGGGGCCTCCCGCTGCTGCCGTGCCGCTGGAGCACGATTTCTGTTCTCATCCTGAAGCAAAGTTCTTAACCTGAGGTACTATTTCTGGGTTAGCGGAGTCTGTAACCTGAAGCGTCTGTAACCTGAAGCGTATGTAACCCGAGGTACCACTGTATAACTATATGCAGATACTAAAGTGCACGGTTATTCATAATATTGTTATGAATTTGTGGGAGGAGGCAGATTCCCCCATAATTCCTTATTTAGTAAATGGTAGAATTTCACTAACGTTTGGAGTATTACGAGCAGATGTAAAAATACAGTGTAAAAAAAAACAGGCTGAGCTACCTTTAGTTCTCTTGTTCAGGAGATTGGCTGACAGAGGTGCCAACAAAGACAGGCGATGGCAGAGTTCATTACCCTGACGAATGGTGGCACGTTTCGTGTCAGACAAGAAATGGGGTGACATCCCTCCCGCAACTGGGTGTTAGTAGCAAAAGACAATAGCAGAGGTGGAAGGGGGAAGTTTCCAGCTTGACTGGCTTCTGTTCTGGGCCCAATCTTCCTGAAGCTATGAGGAGATCAACAAGAGACACTCTTGGCATGTAATGTTCTGCACTCCCTCCATGTAAACTCAGGTGTAAATAAATTGTATTTCTTAAAGATGCTACAATCTCCAACATGTTTCATTCCGAAGGAACACAAACCCTGGTGAAGTGTCAAGACCCCTTGCTACCTCTTGGCAGAGATTGGGGGCGCACCCCTTTAAGCAAAACAAGTTACTTTAGTGGTATAGGCATAGATTTGTGGAGGAGCACATCTTTAGTACCAAAACAAACATTTGTACTAGGAAACTAACTTGTTAGGTAGGAAGTGAGGCCCAGACCCCACTCCCCCTCACATGCTAGTTTATATTTGCAGGGAATTTTAGTTTAGTTTAGTTTTTGTCCATTGAATCATATGAATCATATGAGTGCAGTCAAGGGAAATTTGAGCAGAAAACTGCCAAATGTAACCTCTTCTAAAACCACTCTGGAGAGCAGAGGGGTGAGGCAGCTGATTTTGGTGACTGTTGCCACAAACCTCCGACGATGCCTAATTCTGCCCTAAAAAGACTCTTTCTCTACCTTCCAAGGGGTTCCACTGTCAAGCAGCTCTTGCTGCCAGAAAGTTATTCCTGATGTTTAGTCGGAACCTCCTTTCTTGTATGTTCTCTGTTGCTTTTTATTACTCATTAACAACATACTTTTTGAAATGCTTCCAGTGCCATTTTCCAAAAATGGGTTGGGAGGCACCTGGAATTCTGACTTTGTAGGAACTTGACATTATCCAAGAAAAAGCAATTGAATTTGAACACTAATATATTCCTTGCAGTGAAGGGACATGGGTGGCATTGTGGGTTAAACCACAGCTAGGAGTTGCCAGTCAGAAGGTCGGTGGTTCGAACCCCCGCGATGGGGTGAGCTCCCGTTGCTCGGTCCCTGCTCCTGCCCACCTAGCAGTTCAAAAGCACAAAGTGCAAGTAGATAAATAGGTACCACTCTGGCGGGAAGGTAAACGGAGTTTCCGTGCACTGCTCTGGTTCGCCAGAAGCGGGCTTAGTCATGCTGGCCACATGACCTGTAGCTGTATGCAGGCTCTTTCGGCCAATAAAGCGAGATGAGCGCCGCAACCCCAGAGTCAGCCATGACTGGACCTAATGGTCAGGGGTCCCTTTACCTTTACCTATTCCTTGCAGTGGACTGCAGCGCAGCAGGTGCCAATGACAGAAAGTCTGTATTTGAGTAGCTTTGGCAAATCCATATGAAAATGAGAAATGTTTCACGTGGTTCAGTAATTTTCCCCAGCGTTGTTCCTTTGAAAATATATCTTGCTGCACAGAATATGTGTTTCAGCTCAGCAGTAGAGGATCTGCTTTGTATTCACAAGACCCCAGATTCAGTCCCTGCGAAGGGCTCCTGTCTGAAACCCTGGAGTTCACTACCAGTCAGTGTAGACAATACTGAGTTGGATGGACGAATGATTTGACTCCGTGTGACAGCAGCACCTTTTGTGAGGTTTCAGTGAGCAAATACAATGTTAGCGCTCTGTGCTAGAAACATTTTGCTGTGCTGCCACCTAGTGGAAACCTGGGATCAATGTGAGCCCTAATCATAAACCACATAAATACCCCGTGAAATAATTCAAAGCAGAATCAGGTGCGAAACCCCCAGCACCGTGACTTGGCAGTACTGTACACCAGATGCTCACCAATGTGCAATTTACTTGTGGGTCCTGTATCATGGAGCATTGTTTTCACTTTGGAGGTGTACCAGGGCAATGATCCAATCGGCTGCCATGAATGGTATACTAAAATGTTTTACACATCACTTTGGAAGACAGGCGAACTAATGCCAATGTACTGGAAGATGCAAAGATCACCAGTGTCGAAGCGATGATTCTTCAACATCAACTTGGATGGACTGGTCATGTTTGGATGCCTGATTATCATCTTCCAAAGTGACTATTCTGATCTTAAAAATGGAATGCATAATGCTGGTTTATTTTATTTATATTTATAATTTTTTAAAAGTTTTATTTAGGCATACTTACAAACAGACAGACAGACAAAACAATAAAGTACACAAACGTTGAATACACACACCAGCGTAATGCTGGTTTAAAGAGGTTTAAAGACTCTCTCAAGGCAAATCTAAAAAAATGTAGTATAAACACCGGCAACTGGGAAACACTGGTCTGCGAGCGCTCCAGTTGGAGAACAGCCTTTACCAAAGGTGTCATGGACTTTGAAGACACTCGAACTCAGGATGAAAGGGAGAAATGTGCTAAGAGGAAGGCACGCTTGGCAAACCCTCACCGTGATCAACTCCTGCCCAGAAACTAATGTCCCCACTGTGGAAGGATGTGTGGATCCAGAACTGGCCTCCATAGTCAATTAAGGACTCACTGTTAAGACTGTCTTCATTGAATCTTACAATCTTACTCGGCTACGAGTGATCGCCAAAGAAGAAGAAGACCAAGCAATGCATGCATTTGGCTTTGTGTCATTCATTGTGCCATCACATCGCTGCATGCCTCATTTGCGAGTCTTCTCACTGTGCCCTGGAAGGACTATACCGAAATAGGCTGGATGTCTTCAAACATGCACTCTGAAGTGGTATAGCCCTTCAAGAGTTGCGCCACACGCTGCATCTCTTTGATTGAATTGGGCATTATAGGCAGCAGTTATTTCAGTTGGGGAAGAGATTTATTAAGACAGTGATATGAGCGAGTAGAGAGGACAGGAAGAGTTTGCTCTTCATGCTGTTTCCTCCCAATTAGAGAAAGTCCTTCATCATCAGTGGAAAGGAAAAGACGGAAAAGTCAGAAGAGCTAAAACAGCTGCAGACAAGTTGTGCTCCTACCCAACATAGTTTAGGCACCTGTGCAGAGCTCATTTAATCAATGAGAATTTCATTGCTGATCAGTGCCGAAAGGACTGTAGCGTGGATTATTAGAAAAGATAGATGAAAGAAAAGAAGCCTTTCTTTCCCCAGTAGTATATGGCTTAATAGTTGCATGAAAGATCTTTCGCTCTAAAGAAGTTTTAAAGTAACCAGCTTCACGAAAAAAGGAAAGTTGAATTATGCAGCCTGCATAGAGAAGACAAAGACATATGCCAAGCAACGGGAAGCAATGCTTCAGCTCCATTAACATCAAAAACAAAATGAAATCAAACTACGCACATACAAGTTTCTGGAGATATTTTATTACCCCCAGCCAACTTTCAATGGAGCTCAGGAGCATAAAATGTTCCTAAACGAAACCATGGGTCTTCCCTGGATCAGGATCAAATGCTAACCTAATTCCACTGAATTCAGTGGGGCTTACTTCAGCATTAGGGACGCGGGTGGCGCTGTGGGCTAAACCACAGAGCCTAGGGTTTGCCAATCAGAAGGTCTGCGGTTCGAATCCCCGTGATGGGGTGAGCTCCCGTTGCTTGGTCCCAGCTCCTGCCAACCTAGCAGTTCAAAAGCACATCAAAGTGCAAGTAGATAAATAGGTACCACTCCGGCGTTAAGGTCAACGGCGTTTCCTTGCGCTGCTCTGGTTTGCCAGAAGCGGCTTAGTCATGCTGGCCACATGACCCAGAAGCTGTACGCCGGCTCCCTTGGCCAATAAAACAAGATGAGTGCCGCAACCCCAGAGTCGGTCACGACTGGACCTAATGGTCAGAGGTCCCTTTACCTTTACTTACTTCAGCATTAGGATTGTAGCCCATGTTTTGGTTTGAAATACCCATGGGGACATTTATACTTTATATTGGTCCAAGGCAAAAAAAGAGAACACCTGAATGGCAAACATCAGTACTGTAGATCAATTGGGATATTTTTTGACCCTGGAGCTTTTGTTACCATCTAGAAAGAAAAATTGGAACTGGTTATAAGTGGCTGAAATTTGCAGACATTGTCACCTGCGCAGTAGCGAACGTTGTCCCAAAGGACTATTTCTGTGCAAATTCTGCAAATTGTGCAAGGATTTCCCCCTTCTGGTTGGAGGAGGCTTTAAATTAACACTTTAGTCTGAGATACTCAAATCAGGGTCCAGTTCCAATGTATTTGTTTTACCATTTGCAAGCACTAACTGCATGTCTGTTTCATTGTTTGTCATGCAAAGTTTTTGTTCAGCAGGCTTCCTGGTAGGGATGGCTTATATGTGTTAAACAGAAAGCGCAGACAGTGTGAATGTTTCTTAACACAGTGGCCGGAATGAGATGTTACCCTGCAGATCAGTTTCATGGAGAGTGGAGGAAAAGCTTCCGAAACATGGAAGGAAGAACTAGGACCCAGTATTTTTCCAAGCAAAATTCAAAGCGTTGGTGTTGACCTTTAAAGCCCTAAATGGTCTTGGCCCTATATACCTGAAGGAGCGTCTCCACCCCCATCATTCTGCCCGGACGCTGAGGTCCAGCTCCGAGGGTCTTCTGGCAGTTCCCTCACTGCAAGAGGTGAGGT